AAGAGAACAAAGCAGATTCCAGTGGAGGAAGAAATCAGGAAGTGGATAGGACACCTGTTAAGAAAATCACCCAACTGAGTCACAAGTCAAGCCCTCACTTGAAGTCCTGAAGACCAAAGGAGAAGAGGAAGACCAAAGAACACATTACACCGTAAGATGGATAAAGACATGAGAAGAATGAACAACAATTGGATAGAACTAAAAAGAGAGTGGGATGAAGAATGCTTGTCGGCGACCGATGCTCCATTGGGTGTAACAGACGTAAGTAATTAAGTAAGTTTTAATGATAATGATAATAATAATAATAATAATGAAGTAAAAGAGATCACTATCAATTTATTCAATCTTTGAAATAATATTTTATATAACTTCAATGAATAAATTAAATTGTTCAACTTGTTTTGATTGGATTATTATTCATTACCAAGGACTTAATATTAAATTGACTAAAAGTAAAATAAAAACACTATAAATCATTATGCACCAATTAGAATACATAATATTTATTGATTTTTGATGATATTTATTGTCGTTATTGTTGTTGTTGTTGTTCTACTTTGTACACTTATCTTAACCATTATATTCGATTCAAACTAAGTAACTGATTTAATCAATACAATATACCTTAAATTATTGTTGCTTAGTGCTAAAAAGAAATAATAACGAGGGAAAAAAAAGAAAAAAAAGGGAACGAAAATTTTGTTTGCATTTGTTTAATCTCAAAGAATTTATCACGTTTTTGTGAAGCAATTAATTCAGTAGTATATTCAGATAGTTTTTATGAATAAAACGACATTATAAATATTTTACGGGGGGTTATTTTTGAATATAAATGTAAGTTTAAATAATGACAATCTGAAATTCATTATTCATTTGTATTTCTATTGTATAATATTTACTAGTAATAAACAATTGATTATAAAATAATATTATATGCAATTAGTTCCCTTTATGAATTTAAATAAAGCCAGAACAAATGTTGATGTAGAATAATATGAATTCATTATAGTTCGTGGTTTCTCGTCAGCTGCTTCCAACCAAATATGTATTAGAACTTTATATTGAGATAAGAAACAGTATGGTATAATTGACATAAGTGAAAGTAAGGGATTGGAATGACCAAAGTTATCAATGATAACTATATATATATATATATATATATGCAAGAAAAGGTCCAAAGCTATTAGGTGTTAGAATCAAGGAAACATTAAGATGGGTGGTGTCATGGTGGAGTTCAGAGACAGATAAGATAAATTGTGTGATAATTTTAGAGGTAATAAAGGATTTTTTGATTGAGATCATGAACTGATTGATGTTAGACTACCGTTAAAAACCTGGAAGCACTGGATGGCCGTTTTGTCCTATTGTGGGATGTCTCAGCAGTGTGCATTCACGATCCCGTTCTCGGGATTCGAACCCAGAGCCTTCAGTCTCGCGCATGAACGCCTAGCTTACTTGGCCACTGAGCCGGCATTCAATGGTGTTAGTGTCTAACATCAACTATTCATGGAATTAGAAAATTGATAAGATGGATTACGTAGTAACTTAATAGAACTTGAAGAGTTCATCTAATTCAAGAGAATCAAGTGGTCGTAAATAATGATGATCTTTTGAGAATTATTGATTTTATTATAAAAGTAAGTAGTTTGCGTAGTTTATTTTTTCTATGATGTTGGATTATATAATCTGGAAGATTTAAATAAGTTTTCATTATAATTACTGATAAGCTTATCTATTTTACTTCAAAATGGTTCTTTCATGAGTAACATATCTTTGCTTTGATTACATGAGATTGCTTCTATTATATATTTATATCCTTACATAATCTTATTTTCTGATTGAATATTTTATTTGGTTGACCTCTGATCATATGATAAATTGACTAAGATTGTATGGATAGGTAAACTGAATCGGTTTCAATATACTTACACAGTAGAGATTGATCAAAGTAAAATGCTTCGACTTTTTTCAATCCAGAGTTTTCACATTCTTGAATTTGAATTCCTGTCTATCGTTGCCTAGGTCTACTGATATAGATGGTGATATAGATGGTGCCACATAACTGTTAATATATATTCGGGATTGAGTAATTTTTTTCGTTTAATATAATGCTTCCTACACTTAGAAGAATATATATTGTACATCCATTATTCGATTATTTGTTCTTCTGTTTAACCTAAGTGTTACATATTTATTTACTTAATCGGCTTGTGAGTAACACTAATCTCAGAAAGACGAAGAAAGCTTAGCAATTGACAATTTAAGTCTCAGAACGAAAAACCACCAATAGTGATTATTATCAGGTGGGTTTTGTGGTTATTATAGTAATTTCAATGGTTAAGATCATGAGTCAGTTGAACCTAGACCACCATGGAAAACCTGGAAGGACTGGTTAAGTGCTCGCGCGCAAAACCAGTGGGTCCTGGGTTTGGATCTCGCAGGGGGCGAGGTCGTGAATGCGCACTGCTGAGGAGTCCCACAATAGGACGAAACCTTACAGGTTTTTCATAGTGGTCTAGCTTCAATTGACTCGTGATTTCAACCAGTGGAATTTCTAAAATCTCCACAAAACCACTTCTGATAATTATTGAGATATGTCCGTATTAACTTTAGAATAACTGACAAAAATAAATATTCTATTAATTTAATTAAGTATGTAAAGTGATTAGCGAACGGATAAATGTTTTATGTTGATATCAGTATAGAGTGGTTTGTTGAAATAATAGAATTTTCACAGCTTAAATCATGAACTGATTTTAACTATGCCACCACTAAAAACCAGGAAGCATTGAACAGAACAATATTGTGAATTGATTGAAGTTAGACACATACATTATCGGTCACTGAATTAGAAGTCTAGAGGTTAAGCACTCGTGTGCGAGCCTGAGGGTCCTGATTTTAGATATACATCAATGAGATCGTGATTATACACTTCTGTTAAGTCCTATACTAGTAAAAATTATCTATTCAGTGCTTTTTGATCGTCGATAGTGGTCTAAGTAAGATAATTGCATGATTTAAACTACAGAAATAGTACAAATATATCAAAGATAAAATCCAACTATAAAAAATAATGATATTATTAGATGTAGAGATAGTACAAGCGTCTAATGATCTCAATTTTATTAACATGATCAGATCCTATTATCTAAGTTTCTAGTAGTTTTGTAAAAAACGTTTATAAAGCTTGTTAGTACGCACTAAAAATATTAAAACAGATTGTCACACAATTTATTGAAACTGTCTACGTACTGTAGCATAGCGTCGAGTCGCGGTTGACTATGATCACCACTACAGGAAGACTACGTGCCAGTCAACCGATAAAATCCCCCCGTAAGCCAAATATCAGAAGGCACTTGATGGCTGTAGTCGAGATGTATTTGCTGGCGATCTCGAAGTATCGAAAGAATACCGAGATTGTGCCAAAGCAGTACAAGTGAGGTTAGTGAGCGTAACCGAATTCGTGCAAGGCCACAATCAACGGAAGAATGTAAGTATTTAGTACAGTCAAACAAACATGTACAGTAAAACAATCACTGGTACAAATGGTTATAATAATAATTGTTTCCATTAAACCAATCGCGTTCTTTTCATAATAGTCGGTCACTACAGTACTATCGAAGTTATGAATGAAATTCAATCACGAAATGATTCAGTCTAATAACATGTTTCTATTTAATCAGAAAAAAATGTGTTCATGATAAATAGACATTTTTCTATTCATAAAGATTGATACATGAGAATTGGAATTGATTGTTTGTTCCTTTAAAATGATGTGTTACAGTACCGTTTGTAAACTTGGTAAATAATATCGAAAACTAAGACTGATATTTCCCCTATTATAAGATTCAAAACTACATCATTGTATATTAATATTGAGTTAATAAAAAGAGATCCATAGACATTAAAGAAGAAGAATGTGTTTGTAAAATTTCAACGAAAGAATTTGAAGTAAATCCAACGTTTTGCCTGGCAATCTGGTTCAAGCTTTTTCAAGAAAAATATAATCAGACAATAGAATTATCCTTGGATTTACTTCAAATTCTTTCGTTGAGATTTTACAAATACATTCTTTTTCTTTAATGTCTCACATTAACTCGGCGCGGAAATATTGTGAAACTATTCGTTTAAATGTAAACGAAAGTTCTTATTTAAAGACATCCATAGGTTTAATTTATGAGATATCTTTCAATTTGTCAACTTTTGATATTGAGTAACTAAGGCAAAGATAGTTGGTTAAACACTTTAATCAATATATATATATATATATATATATATATATATATATATATATATATATATATATATATATATATATATATATATATATATATATATATCATTGCTGAACACTTTACAATCGTCAGATCAATATTTAAATCTGAGATCGAATATATAATGAATGCACTATGATTTATTTATGCATAAATTTATAAATGTTGATTGGATATTTATATGACTTGGATATTATCCGACATAGAAAAAAAAGTGAATGGGTGATTGAGAGATAAATCTAAATCAAATAAACATACGGTAGTTTAAAAAAAATCAATTTCATATTGATTTGTATGTTGAATAATTTTTTTCTGGTTAGCGTTTTTTTAGTGAGTTAGTTTTCTACGGGATGGGGTCATTAACCCCATGCCCAACCCTCCTCCTTTATCCGGGCTTGGGACCGGCAGTAGCCCCCGGAGGGGCTCCAGGCGGAGTTATGTTGAATATGTTGTACATTAGATATTATCTATTGATCTAGCATTTTAATTTTATCTCATCAATTGATCAAGATCCAACACATGACCAGAAATTGACCACAGTGCTTGGAATCATGAAATAAGGTGATTTAGTGAAAAAAAGTTTAGAAAACTTCATATTAAACAAAATTTATTTAAAACCTAACATTCATTATGTTAATTAATCTTCTAATGTATTAAACGGATTTTTCTATTAAATATCTTGTATGAATTATAAATTATTTTTATTAACAGATTAATAGATCAATAATGCCATCAGCAGATATTGAAAGTTCACGACATCTGATAAGTCAACCTTTATGGATAAAAGATCCTAATTATTTTGATTTACAAAGTTCAACTAGATCTGATTATTTATGGGATCCAAGAACTTCACGTAAAACTGAACCTGAAGGAATTCGTGCACGCAGTTTTAAGCCAAAAGTAAGATAAAACAGTATAATAATATCTTTTATATATATAGCCCATGAGCTGAGCATAACTGAAGGAATATTTCGAATTGTAGAACTAATTTCGATCATTAATTGGATTCTTAAATCTCGTTATTAGAAAATGTCATAGATTATATGTAAATTCACGTAATTATAAATTGCAAGCGTACATGATGCATGGAAGTAGTGTTAAAGCTGTATTCAGTGAACTCAGTCTCAGTTTTGTATTTTCACGTTTCAATTCAACCTTGTGTAGATAAAGAGATAATAAAATATCAGCTTTTTGTATTTTAAAAAGTCGTCTTTAGTTTGACACTTATATAAGCAATCAATAAGAGTTTTGTTAGAAACCTTAATTTTAATCACAGAAATGATCAAATCTAATACCATTGTTTATTTGTAATTTTAGTAATATGTTGTATAATATTGTCAGATGATTATCTGAAATGTTATAAGATGATCGTGAGATTATCATCCAGGAAAGAGAACTGACAATGCAAAGAATGTAAATGATTGAGGGAAACAACTTCTAAGGAATGGGAAAACCACATATATATTTATTAAAATAATACACTTTTATTGAAATTAAAAGAAAAAAAATAGGAAGAACTATAAGTTAAATATAATTGTAAGCGCTCGCACGCCAGACCGATAGGTTCTGGGTTCGAATCACGTGAGGTGGGATCATGGATGCGCACTGCTAAGGATTCCCACAATGAGACGGAACGGCGGTCTCGTCCTTCTAGGTTTTCCATGGTGGTCTAGCTTCAATTAACTCATGATCTCAACCATTGAAATTACTATAGTATACACATAAACCCTTCTCATATTCATTGTACTATCAATAAGCAAACATTTCTCAAATTCGTAGATTTAGCACTAAGGGTATTGTTTAGTTCTCCATTCATTATAAACTATATATCTTCAGGAAACATTATAGGTAATTTAGATTCTCAGGAAAACCGTTAAAACTTGAAAGATTAATTTTCACATTTTTATCACTATGCTACAGACAGAATTCTCAATTGATAGCAAATTAATACAGTATGATCAAATGATAATTATTTCCTAGACTGAACTTATTAACTAGAAAATGGATATCAATGAACAATCGGTAAGACTATAATTTATGGATGACCTTTGAGCGACGCTGAAGTGACCTTGAGAATGGACACCTACTTATTAGGACTAAATGAGGGTTATAAAGTCGTTAGAATCCTTATTTACTGTTGATGAATCGGGTTAAAAATTGGATTTAGAGTTTTCATCATGAACTGATACCAACTGTAATGCCAAAACTTTATTTAGCCAAACGTATGAATGAATTTTGCGCCAAAATTTTATATCTGATTGGTTCGTTCATAAATTTTAGTCTCGCCCAAAAATCTTAAACACATATGATTTAATTTCAATGCTTAAGATCACGAGTCAATTGAAGCTAGACCACCATGGAAAACCTGGAAGCATGGGACTCCTCAGCAGTGCGCATCCACGACCTCGCCCCCTGCGAGATTCGAACCCAGGACCTACTGGTTTCGCGCACGATCACTTAACCACTAGACCACTAAGCGGGCATCTAACGGTGTTAATGTCTAATTTCGACTAATCCACGAAATTGAGCGACACATCCTCCATATGATTAAATTTTCCTCATATTGCATTTGGTAATAATAATACAATTGTCATTTAAATTCACAGGATGCAACATAAAATAAAATTGTAGGATATAATAAATCATACGAATAATGAACTGATTAAGAATAAGGGCGAAAATCATTGTTCAAGACGTATCTTAATATTATTATTATTATTATTATCGACTTGCCATTTCTGATGCTTTTATAGATTTATGGTTTAACAGTTATAGAATTTAACATCTGATAATTTGTTCATGTATTTGGTTAATTGAAATCATTCCCTTATGGTATGAATAGTTTGGATAATGGTTAGCAAGGTTGTACATGATAAGTTAAGAGTTGTAGTGGCGGTTACTATGTTGAGCCCATATAAATTACGCAAGCTTCTAGAAAGGCCAGTTTATCTATTCTTCTTGAGTCAAGAACGGTATTGCCAGTCAACGCGAGAACGTTAGTTGCCAGGTACTGGAGTACAGCTACCAAATTAACAAGGTCAAAACGTGAATCAAGAAAAATGGATAAATTGGCCTATCTAGAATTTAGAATAAGTTAGATGGAATTAACATAGTAACCGACACTCATAGATTAAACAGAGTTCTATATCATTTGCTAGAAAATCCGTTATTTTCATAGTTTTACAATTTTTAAATGATAAAAAGAACAATTTAATATGGACTAACAATAATAAGATACAATGTATCACTATTTTTAGTAAGTTAATACTTAATAATTACACAATTCACGCCAGTTTGCAGGCATGATCAAGTTGATATAAATAGTAACATTAGATGTAGAGAACAAACATGTGATAGAAGAAAGTTTTAAGTATACTAGTCCAGTAGTTGTTTAAGTAGTACATGTATTACAGCGATCCAATGCACCAGCTGGGAGTTTTTAATGTTTCTTAAATGGACAGCCTGTTGATTTATGAACGGTGTAATTAAGGTCATTTCGTGTGCCAGATTGAATTAATGATAATTATCTACAACTAGAGAAAGTAAAACCAAAAACAGAGAGCACGAAACAACAAAGCAATAATTACTGAAATATGTCAATCAGGTCTACCAAAATGCGTGTGTCATGTGACACAGTGATATACTGTTGATGTTATTCAAATTAGTTAAACTTGCTGGGGACAGTTTTAACATAAAGTGACAGCAAGTTATCTAATAGCTGTCATTATCAAACTTTTGAAATGTGAGATTTAGTGATATCAAAAGTTAAACCTTGAATTTCAACCAAATGTTTATTAGGGGATAAACTCAATAACAAGCTAACTGGTATTTCTAAGAATAATGTTCATTCATTGATAAAGTGATTATGGATTATGTTTAAGACAAAAACGTCAATCTTATAGGGAGATAAAAGTCAATGAAAAACAAATAAGGAGTGAGATTGAGCCTGTGATTCACGTATTACGAGTTGTTTAATTAATTGTAAGTTATTTGTAAAACTAGAATTTATCTTAAAAATGTCAGTAGTTGAAATATGAAAGCTAAATATTTGAATGAAAGATGTTCATTAGCATGAATATATTTTTCTAGTTAGCAGTTATAGATTAAGATTCGATAGTTTTAAGTGACTGAGTGGAATAATCAGGAAATCTAGATTTCGTACTAGTTAGCACTCGTCAGAGAGGCTTAACTACAATTAAAAACCGTTGATGCTTCTTGTGCGATTCGAACCCAAATCAGATTGCCTTACATTTTCAAACGTTAATATTGAGCTACTCAGGCCGTAATCGTAAAACTAAGATATTTACAACTGATTGGTCATTGAGTAGTGACCACCCAATGTATTGCCACAGTATTTGGGGTATCAAGCCACCTAAACTAATGGCCATTTAATCGATGAAATTTTGTCGTTACTATAGGAACTAGACAGATATGAGACTGGTCACCACTCAATTACAAATCAGTGATATAGGTCCATGGTGAATCGTGATTTTTGATCATTGTATACAGGCAGATGCTCATATTCTGTCATTCTTGATATACCATTCTTAATGATTTAACTTAACATGTATTATTATCTGTTAACAATACAAATAAGGTTTCAGCATACAAAAGTACAATTAATTGGGATTTAGGTGAGAAATCAAAATCTATCTCGTGTGTACATACACAAGTCAATCCAAATAAATTTCAGAATCATAGTTATTCGTTGACTAGTTTATTAGATCAGCAACCAAGAGATTGGCTTATTGATGATTATGATTCGAAACACAAAGGATGGCGACGGACAGATCAGATAATAAGAAATAAAGAATCCTTTACAAAAAATTCATTATATCGTGAACAGTTCCCGCCAAAGGAAGCTGGTAAGCAGATAGTTAATATTATCAACATTATTTTTATTTCCATAATACTACCCACTTGACAAAATGTTTTGATGAGTATTAAGAACTTTTATAAGTAATTCCAGGGAATTGGTTTAGTTTTTGTTATAAATAATCACTGTTAATGAATGATACATAATAACAAGACATTTATTCAGTACTCTACGTATTTTGATGGTTTACCAAACGTCAGATAGAAGTGAACTGTTCGATGTCGTTCAGAAGAACGATGAAAGCTTCACGATCAAACCATCCAGCTCAGAGAACAAACCTCCATCACAATCATCCACCTGATCTGTAAATCTTCTCTACCATCTTCGAATTACATCTTTTTGGAACTTTCATTTTAATTGGTCTACAATCAGTTGAATAATAGACTGACTATTTAAAATATACAGAGTATCATTCATTGACAACACTGAATAATAAATCAAGGTATTTATGTATTTGAATAGGATAAAAATAGAACTTGGAAATTAAAACTGAATCTTCTTATTGATTTTTTTTACTAATTTCCTGATCTCCATTAAGAAATTGCAACTCACTGAACAAATTAAAGATCGAGCATATTAATTTGTTTCCAGAGTTCGAATCGTCACTAAAATGTTTTGTTTTTTCGATAAATAATAATGAATAAATACTAATCTGTCATAAACTGTCATTTAGAATTTAACTTTAACACATTTTATAATCTCTTTTTGATGTCTTAAAGCATAAGGAACTTGTTGTGGTCGGTATTCGATATTATCCTTAAATTTCGTATACTGTTCATCTTGATAACTATTACTAGATAATTTCCCCAACGGTGTATAGATCAGAAGACGAATACGAAGCGTTGATCACGTTTATTATTACACCATGAACAGGTCATTAAAACCACATGCTCACGAAGCAAGAATGAAAGGCTGGTGCCGAAAAGCAGGCGAGAAAGCGTGCGAGTCTAATGAACAGGATTAAAATGTGCATGTGCATATATATAGGAAAATGAAGAGTCATCGAATCATTTAACCGGTTAACACTAAAGTTAACAGAGTGATTATGTGCGTAGGCGGTAAGCAATGCTCAAACATACATATTCATACAAGCTCAACAATAGTATAGGTACAATGGTATACATAAGTTGTTATTGTACGGATGACTCTATCCGTTAAATAAATTAACAACAGGTATAAACCAAATTAAATGTGAACAAACTCAAATGTACGTCAGCTGCTCAGTTTATAGTAGACATTTTATTGAGTATAGTAAATTTGTTAGTGTTGTATTGTTATAAATATTTGTTATCTAATAAGAATTGATTATTCAGTGCTCCAAAGTCTTTATCAGTTTATTTATTAGATCGTTTGAAATTTACTTTCAAGGAAAGGCTCTGAGATCGAGGAATAAAGTCATTAATCTTTGTGATTCTAGATCAAATTTTGGAGGAAAGTATTAAGGTATTCTCAAATCAGTATTAACATCCTTTTTGTTAGGTTTCATAGAAAGTTAATTTATATATAGTAACTTATTGAATGAATGCATTTCTTATTTACATTACAGTTCATGTACAACCGGTAAAACCTGTTCATATACCATTAAAAACTTCAGAGAAATTTACTGATAAATCTGTTTATACTGATGAATATATATGGCGACCAATATTAATAGATTATAATCAATTAAAGCACCATAAACTTTGTCTTCCTATTGAAATGATTCCTTCAAAGCCTAGAGATGAATCAAATATAATAAATGTTGGCGAAAATGTCATGTCAATGCCTGGTACCAATCCAAACTTATTTAAAAGTACAACTTACAGAGAGGATTTTCAAAGACATGCATTGACTAGCAAAGAACCAGTTATGTGTAGGAAAATTGCGCCTGTGATCAAATTATCTAAAGTGAGGAATGTGTTGTATTGAAAAGTTAAATATAAGGGCATTAATGAATAATCGTTTTCTGAAAATATAACATCACTTTCTTTAATGAGATATTCAGTCATAAAACAAGTCAATATGCCCGTCTCTAAAAATACCAGGTTTAAATATTTTTAAGAGTTAATATCATCGAGAAGTGAATGAAACGTCTTGGAGCTATTCAGCATTGAACTGCTTATAGAAGACCCAATACAATTTTATATATCTCATGGCTATCGTCTTACTGTTAAAGTATCAATTTTACCTACTATATCAGTTACATTTTAAACAGTCATATAATTAGCAATAGAAATAGTATATTTGTGGAACATTAATGAGTAAAGTGCTACATTTCTGACGTTTTGTGATCTAGCGTAAGTCACTTCCTTAAATAATAAAAATAAGTAAACTGATTAAGTTAACACAAGCTTAAAAAATACAAAGCGAACAAACAAAATATATTTAGTACAGTCAAAATTATAATGAGGGATTTATACGCTCAAAAGGAGCGGCCATGTGATCTTCTGTGTTTCTGATTGTCGTTAATCTATTCATGTCCTGTATTACCTACTTACGCTTGTTACTCCTTGTGGAGGAGCATAAGCTGCCCACCAGCACCCTCCAATCAACCTATCTGGGCAATTCTTTCCAGCTCTTCCCAGCTCTTCCCAGTTGTTATTCATCCTTTTCATGTCTACTTCTATTTCCCGACATAGTGTGTTCTTTGGCCTTCCACTTTTCTTCATCCCTTCAGGATTCCAAGTTAGGGCTTGCCTCGTGATGCAGTTTGGTGATTTGCGTAATGTATGTACTATCCATTTTCATCGTTTTTTTCCCTAATTTCCTCTTCGGCTGGAAGCTGGTTTGTTTTCTCCTACAGTATGCTGTTGCTGATTGTATTTGGCCAATGGATGTTGAGTATCTTGCGTAGACAACTATTTATAAATACTTGTACCTTTTTTATGATGGTTGTGGTAGTTCTCCACACTTCAGCTCCATACAGTAGAACTGAGTTGGCGTTCGTATTGAAGATTCGCACTTTGATATTGGTTGACAGTTGTTTTGAGTTCCAAATGTTCTTCAATTGCAGGAATGCGGCCCATGCTTTGCCAATCCTCGCCTTTACGTCTGCATCTGAGCCTCCTTGTTCATCGATGATGCTTCCCAGGTATGTGAAGGATTCTACATCTTCCAGAGTTTCGTCATCAAGAGTGATTGGACTGCTGTTCTCCGTGTTGTATTTGAGGACCTTGGTTTTCCCCTTGTGTATGTTGAGGCCTACTGATGCAGAAACTGCTGATACACCGGCTGTCTTTATCTGCATTTATTCGTATGTATTGGATAGGAGGGCTAGGTCATCTGCGAATTCCATATCGTTTAATTGATTCCGAGCTGTTCATTGTATGTCGTGTTTGCCGTCAGATGTCGAAGTCGTCATAATCCAATCAACCACTAGAAGAATGAGGAAGGGAAAGAGAAGACAGCCTTGTCTGACTCTAGTCCTTACTTGGAATGCATCTTTCAGCTGTCCTCCATGCACGACGTTGCACTGTAGTCCGTCGTATGAGTTCCGTATAATGTTGACAATCTTCTCAGGAACTACATAGTGTCGAAGAAGTTTCCATAATTTTCTCCGATCTACACTGTCAAGTGTCTTTTCATAATCAATGAAGTTGATGTAGAGTGACGAGTTCCACTCAACTGATTGTTCGACGATGATCCGTAGTGTCGCCATTTTGTCTGTGTACAACCGATCTTTACGGAATTTAGTCTGTTGATCACGAAGTTGGGCGTTTACTGCATCTTTCACCCGGTTAAGCGACACTGTTGAAAACTTTCTCTGATATTGACAGTAGTATGTCCCATATGAAATCACATGTTTTTACCAGAGTCCTCAGACCAAAAATTTAGTAGAGATATGAGACTATTTTACGAAACTTTTCTAAACTGCTGAATAGTTTCTCAATCTATATAAAATTTACTTTTGGAAGTAAAAATTAACTTAGGGGTCTACCATCTTTTGACTACTTAGTCAAAAAAATTGAAATAGAAGTTTAAGATCAATTATCTATCTCAAGCCGACATAATCAAATAGATTCATGAATGTCAACTCAGCACAACCATTGAATACAAACATTGTTTTTGGCTCTAAATCTATTCATACGAACCTCCATAATCATTACATCAAATGGAAAGTAAAAGTAAAACAGAATATATATATATATGTCTTCATTGGCTGTCCTAATGTGATTGGTTTGTAGTTTCACTGAAATTTAACAATCTCTACAACTATATACTGATTATTTTCTATTTATTCATTATATTACTTTCATTATATATTTTCTTGATTTCCATAAGATATTAAAACCACCATATGAAATTCAAGAATCATATTCTACTATAAATTCAAGATATCAATATGATTATGGTAGTTCAATAAAACATCGTCATTTATCGAATTATTTACCTGCAGCTGGTATGACAACTTTTAATAAACCAATTAAAAGTCAAATACAAACTTATTCATTTAATTTTGATAATGATTCATTATTTATGAAAGAACAATTTAATCAACAAAAGAATTCCATTCAAAACTTTCATTCAAATGTAAATTTATCACAACGACAATATTTACCAGATATTATTGAACAAGTAGAAAATAAATGGCCATATTTAGAACATAAAAATGGATGTTTCTATACAACTAAACCATTAGAAGGAAGTTTTTAATAAAATGATTCTTATTCCTTATTTTGTTTCTGTTATGCCTTGATAACAATAATCAGTGGTAATTTTTGGTATCCATTTGTAAATCAATATTATACGTATATTTTACCGTATAATTGTTCATTAACTAAACTATTCTTATCGATTAAATGTTAACTATTACTATGGCAGTCGATTGACTAAATTATCGATTAAATGATTAAAAATGCTTCCATGGTAATATCGATTATATATATATACGTTCGAATTGTGTTTGTGGATCGCTGTGTGATCACTCGTTTCTGGTTGTTTGCAGAATATACTTTACCATTCCAAGCTTGAACTTCTTTCTCTAGTAGTGGAGCTGGGACGCATCGAATAGCTAGCTTACTGGTCTTTGGTCACTGAGTCTTTGTTCTGGTTCGCCGATTACGTGAACTCGTGATAGCTTGAAATCTAGCAGTTTCTATGACATTTTTTTACAACATAAATATTTATAAATAGAGAAATAAAAATGATTGATATATTCAGTTACATATAAATGTTACTTAGTTACTATTATTATTATTATTAATATTATTATTTTGATGGAATTTTGCTCTCTGAGCTAGATGTTTTGGTCGTGGAGCTTTTATCGTTCTTCAGAACGACATCATCAGCACAAACTTCAGACAGAAGTGAAGCGTTCGAATTTCTCCATATGTGCTTCACAGCTTGTCTTGTACACCTCGATGTTGATTGGTTTTTGTTAACTTTAAATTTGACATTGTTTACTTCTTTGTTTTGGTTGTGTCTTCCATTGGTTTGATTTTTGTTCCTATATTTGTGCATAATTTTCCTGATTAGTTGATAAATTGGCTTGATTTCAATATGTTTGTCGATTGCTGATTGACTTGAGTGCCAGGTTTCTAAAAATTCTCTGGAGTTTTCGGAATTTCCTCTATCCAAGATCCCCACATTTTTCCAGTGAAATGAGTGTCCATAGTTGTCCACGTGTATTAATATAAGTAAGGAAATTTCATGGCGTTTGACTGCTAATTGATTTTCATGCAGGCGAAGGTGAAGCGGCGTCCGCTTTGTCCTATGTAGTGTTTTTCGCAGTTGGCACAATTTATTTTCTAGATGATGTTTGATTTATTATTATTATTATTTGTACTTAAGTATGGACTGGCAATATGTAGCGAAACACCATTTTATCTCAATGTCATGAACGAAGAATATTCTTTTCAATGAATTTCTCATCAGGTTCTAGAATTATAAATCCAAATTAATAATCGATAACATTAAGGCAGAATACATCATTTAAAATTGTAATATGTGAATCAAGGATTGTTGTTTATCATATCAAATCAAATCAAATCGTTAATGTTGGGGCTGATTAATATAATATAATATGATATAATATAATATAATATGGTGACGTAATGTGAGTAATGATAAATTTTATGCCCCAAACTTATTATTATTATTATCTTTATCATTGTTATTATTATTAATAATACACTTGACAACCTTTTTAAGAAATTTATTCAACATTCACTCTTATCTACTATATCTGACCTAATTCATATTATTCTACGCATTGCGTACTTTCTGACTTTTATTTCATTATTCTCTCTCTCACGCCTTGTTGATCATATTTATTCTGATCATTAGTTATCTTCAGAAGGGGTTTGTGGAGATTTTAGAAATTTTACAGATTGAATTCATGAGTCAATTGAAGCTAGACCACCGTGGAAAACCTGGAAGCACTGGACAGCCGTTTCGTCCTAGTATGGGACTCCTGAGCAGTACGCGTCCACGATCCCGCACTCCGCTAGATTCGAACCCAGGACCTATCAGTCTCTCGAGACGGAACGGCCGTCCAGTGCTTCCAGGTTTTTCATTGTGGTCTAGCTTCAATTGACTTATGATTTCAATCTGTGAAATTATTTATCTCACTATTTCATTTCACTTTTAAAATGATTCAAGTTAGCAACTTCATATTAGTCAGCCCCAACATTAACACATTTAAATCTAGCTAATGTTATGGATTATTAATTTGGATTTATAATTGTAGAACCAGATGAGAAATTCATTAAAAAGAATATTCTTTGTTCATATGAATTGTGTTTTAATATAATGGGAGTTGTTTCAGTGATTTATCCCAACGACTATATTTACCAGATATCATTAAACAAGTAGAAAATAAATGGCCATATTTAGAACATAAAAATGGATGTTTCTATTCAACTAAACCATTAGAAGGAAGTTTTTAATGAAAAAAAGTGATTCTTATTCTTTATTTTGTTTCTATAACATTTTTTTTTCACAACATAAATGTTGATAAATAGAGAAATAAAAATAATCGATATATTCAGTTCAATCTAAATGTTACTTAGTTACTATTATTTTTTTGTTTTTGTTTTTGTACTTAAGTATGAACAGGCAATATGTAGGGAAATACTATTTTATTTCAATGTATTTAGTTAAATTTTATTTCAATTGTATCAATGGGAAAAAACAACAGTTGACAATTGAATTTAATCAACATAAAGAAGTGAACATGAATAGATTTACTATGTATCAAAGTAAATAAGTGAATGATTTGATAACATGATTCTAAGTGAATAAATTTGGAACAATTAGATATGAGAATACATCTACATGAATATTCTTATTTGATACATTGATTTTCCTTGAATATTTTGCATAAAGATGATGAATGATTCGGGGATGATAAAAGAAAGCAGGTTAAGTGACTAAATCATCAAAAAAAAGATGAAGATAATATTAAAATGCAATACAAGGAGGATCATAAGCAGTTTACCACCATTCTCCAACTAAATCTGTCCTCCGATTTCTTTTCCAACTGTTTGTAAGTGCTTTCTATGCTCTTCAAGTCTGCCTCCAGTTACTTGTGCCTTGAGGATCCTAATTTATGTTTAATCTCGTAATGAAGCTTTATGGTTTTTGAGACATACGTTCTACTTACTTCTACGATATTTTCCTAATTCCCTCCTTACCTAGAAGTTGGTTTTATCTTTTCCACAATAGGTTGTTACGGACGGTCAACGAATATTGAGTATCTTGAGTGAACAATTGGTTATAAAAACCTGTACTTCATTGATGATGGTTGTAGTAGTTCTTCAAGTTTCAGCTCTGTACAGTAGAACTGATTTGATGTGAATTGAAGATTCTGACTCTGATGTTGGCTTGGTGACCTATGTTTTGAGTTGTCTATATTCTTGAAATGTAGGAATGCTATCCTTGTTTTGCGAATCTGTGCCTTCAAATCTGCATAGAAATCCCTTGTTCATCGATGATGAAGTTCAAGTACTTAAAACGTTCCACGTCTTACAGAGCTTGCCCATCAGATGTGATTGGGTCGGTACTCTTTCTGTTGTGTTTTCGGGTTCTACTGTTCCATTGCGAATGTTAACGTTTACCACTGCAGTGGCTGCTACATCACTGGCTGTCTTAACCTGCATTTGCTGGTGTGTATGGAATAAAAGAACTAGGTTATCTGCCAAATCCAATTCGTCTAGTTGCATCTTAACTGTCCACTGTATTGCGTGCTTCCTCTGAGATGTGTAAGCTGATTGCCAGAAGAAAGGGAAAGGGGGAGAGTTATCAGCCTTGTCAGACACCGGTCTTCATTTGAAATACATCTGACAGCTGTTTTCCATGCAAAACATTGCGATGTAGTCAGTCGTATAAATTCCGGATGATATTGATGATTTTCTCAGCTACTAACAGCATAGTGTCGAAGATGGTTCCGAAACGTTCTCCTATCCACACTGTCAAATGCCTTCACATAGTCAAGGATGTCGATGTATAGTAACGAATACCACTCAATTGATTGTTCAATGATGATTCGTAGTGTTGCAATTCGGTCCATGAATGACCAGTCCTTACGGAGTCCGGTCTGCTGATCTCGAATCTGGACGTCTAGGGAACCTCTTACATGGTCCTGACATTCCATGTACCTATGCTAATTATTGCTTTGTTCGTTAGAGTGGACATCGACCTCATGACTTCTGAATAACCTCGACTTTCACCGTGATGCCGCATAATTCTTTTAAACGAAGATCCTTCAACTTTCAGGGTGGGGTGTACATGGTTCAAGTGAGTTCATCTGGCTAGCGTTTTGTTAGCAAAGTTAATTTCCACGAGGCGGAGTTGCTGACCTCATCCCAAACCCTCCTTCTTTATCCGGGTTTTAGGACAAGTGGTAACCGTGGGATTCATTTTGTGCCTTACACAGTTATCTCAAACAGTGCTCGGTAAAGAGATAATGGTCTTGGTGATTCGTCGGCTCTACTAACTTGTTCACAAAAAAAACTTAGATTGTCTCAATGCTTACAATCAGATATTACACGTAGACGGATATCAGAAATAAATTTTAGTAAATCAGTTCACTACTTATAAGTAATAAAAACTAACTAAATAAATAATCTTCAAATCCAATTGTGCGCTTTAGTGATAGTTAAAAAGAAACTTTAGTATTTATGCCCAATAATTTAACAAAAAATAACCAGAGGTGAAATATAGATCATTATTAAGAGAAAACTAGAACGAAAAGGGTCTCTATTAATAAAGATATCTGTCAAGATAAAGTAATTTTATGATGTACTGTTATTTAAAATCAAAAACAGAAACGAGAAAATGATCACAGAGATATTATCCAGCTAAAAATGAGCGCAAAGTGATCCTAGTCAAAATTAACAAATATAAACATAAATATGAGTTGCCTATTGAAATAACTCCAAATGCCTTTCAAAAATAAAATTTTAAGTTATTATTAAATTAGTTCTCTATATTCACTTGGTGTTGTTTGCTTGTATCTTCCCATTGTTGTTTTGGACTGCCTTGATATTGCCTTAAGTCACAGGTTTTATAAGCATAGATGGATATTGTCTAGCAGTGGAATCCAGAACGCGCATTTTGTTCAATTTGATACTTGTCAGCTGGATGTACCTGAATCCTAGAGTTGATGTTAATCAGTTTCTTACTAAAACTTTCTAAGTTTTACACCCAATGTA